CCGTGGCCTTGGTGTTATCAGCACCGCACTCTCCCGAGTGAGCCACGGGCCGGCCCTAAACCCCTTTTCTTTATACATTACTGAGACTCAGGTATTGTCATAAGCAACACAAGACACGCAAGTACACTCCCTAAGTGCTGGTTGCCCAGAGCGAGCTCACAATGCAGCTGACAATGCAGCGATGGCCAGTCTTCATGGCCTCAGGGGCGGTCTGTGGAGAAGGGCACAGGTCCTCGAGGTGGGTGGGGACCACGTCCTTGCCCTCCCTGCAGCACTGCATAGCTCTCTGTTCTCCGGATGCTCAGCAACCACATGCAGGGTCCTGGGCCATGCGGGGGTGGCAAGTGCAGAGGAAGGTCCTGCCTCACCCAGAGGACAGTCTGGTGGGCAGGAGGCAGGAGCGTGCACGTGCAGACACCACAGCCAACATGGCAAAGGGCGACAGGGCGCCCAACGGGGGCTGGAGGGCTCTGTGAAGGCTTCCTGGGCCCTTACAGGAAAAGGAGCAGGTGGCACAATAAAGGCACAAGTGGTGTTCCAGGTGGTGAAGTAACACACCTGTGAAGGGTACGTCAGAGCTCAGTGAAGAGGAGAGTAGTGAGGACACAGGAAGACAGAGAAGGAGATAATTCGGAAGCAAATCTGGGACTCCGGTAAACTCCACCGCAAGCCTGGCCTTTATCCTAAAGCCAAGGAAGCCGCCTCACAACCTAAGGAGGGGTGCATGGGCAGAGCTGCCCCGGGAAAGGTTGCCTGGTGAGCTGCGGATGGATAGAGACATACCCAGCAGCACACCAGTGGCCAGGAAACAACAGCGGGGCTGGGGACAGTGGGGTGGCAGGACAGGACCCAGCAATCAGCTAAAAATGGGGAGGGAAGAAGACGGGGGAATCTAGAGCAACTGTCAGATTTCTGGCTCAGACATCTGGATGGATAATGTTTTCAGACTCCAAGGAAAGGAATATGGGGCAGGGCTGAGCAGCGGCTCAGTGCTGGAAACTTGCGGCGCCGGGAAACATCCAGAGAGGCCCAGGCTCAACGGTGAGTGGGGCATCCCCAGGACAGAGACAGCAGCGAGAGCCCTGCAAGTCACTGAGGAAGAGCAAGAGCGTGAAGAATGAGGAGAGGCCTCAGTAAGGCTCTGAGGACACGGCACTTAAACGGTTGGTGAGGAGGGGGAAGCCACCACCAAGAAAGGGCAGCCAGGAAGAGAGGAAACACCAAGAGGGTGTGGGGAAGCCAGGGGAGAGGGAGGGAGCGGCCAGAGCACCAAGTGCCATGCAGAAATCCAACGAGATAAATATTCACTGAATTCAGCTGAATGAACAAAAATGAAAATGACCACAGGTCTACTGTCTTCCTAACTAGCCACAGTACTGCAAATAATCCACAAAATCAACAAAACGTGAAATTGGATCTAAGGGGATGGCTCTAATTCCACCACGAGAGGGCGCTGTTTCTCTCTCCCCGCAGCCGGCCTGGAAGCCGTTCGCTGCACGTGAGTCCCGTCATCCGTCCACGCTGCAGAGTCACAGCAGAGTCCGCCCACCTGGAAACACCACCAGGCCAGGGGGGCTGGGCAGAGGACACGAAATCACTGAAAATCGCATTCAACTCACACGGATTTGATTTTTTTAAAAAAGGGACCATAATAAACATAGTATAAGAAAACATGGATGAATAATTTTCATAGTCTTGGGTATGAGCACGTTTCTCAATATGACAGAAACAACAAAAATCATGAAGGAAAAGACAAAAAAAAAAAAAAGCATGTTGAAGACAAATGACAAACCAGGAAAAAAAATATCTGCATTGACAGAAAAGTAGTTAATATAACAATAACCTTTAGAAATCAATTTTTTGGGGGGGAAAAGGTGAATTACCACAATTTTGAGGCAAAAAAAAAAAAGTTAATTCATTTCAAAATTCATAGTCTACTGAGACGTTTGACGTCACCAATAACTAAAGAAATGAAAGTAAGACATTTTTTTAGTTGGGCAAAAACCAAAGAGATAAACGACATGGACAGCCTGGGGGAAAGGACAGTTCTCTATGGCATCAGGAATGTAAACTGGTACAGTCCTAATGGACAGCAGTTCAGCAATTCATATCAAAAGTTAAATCTTGGTGCTCTTCGAAAAAGAAAGTAATTGGGAAGCGTATACAGTCGTCCCTCAGTACGTGCAGGGGATTGGTGCCAGGACCTCCCGTGGATACCAAAATCTGCGGAGGTTTGAGTCCCTTACATAAAATGGCTCAATATTCGCATATAACCTACACACATCCTCCTATAAGCTTTAAATCATCTCTAGATTATTTATAATACCTAACAACGTAAAAGCTGTGTAAATAGCTGTTACACTATTGTTTAGGGAACAATGACAAGGGGAAAAGTCTGTGTTCAGTACAGATGCAATTCTTTTCTTGGGATATTTCTAACCCACAGTTGGTTGAATCCACAGATACACAAGGCCAACTGTACGTGGTTTCACCAGAGTTGTCCTTACCAAGCAACCTAAGTGTCCACCCAAAGGGGGACGTAAGCTAACCCAGGGTGCCGAGCTCCATCCAGTGAAAAGCTATCACACTGGGCCGGCCCGGGGGCGCACTGCTACAGTGCGCCGCTTGGGAGCGCAGCGGCGCTCCCGCCGAGGGTTCGGATCCCACATACAGACCGGTTCCCGCTTACTGGCTGAGCGAGGTGCCGGTCCCGGTCCGGTACAGGCGCGACACTGAGGGTTGCGATCCGTTGCCGGTCACGAAGAAAGACAAAAAGGAAAAAAAAAAAAAAGCTATCACACAGATCTTCACTTATTGGTGTAGAGTGGAAGGTATCCACACATACTGTTGATTTTTTTTTTCCTTTTTGTCTTTCTTCGTGACCGGCAACGGATCGCAACCCTCAGTGTCGCGCCCGTACCAGACCGGGATCGCAACCCTCGGTGTTGCTCCCACACCTCGCTCAGCCAGTGAGCGGCCAGTCTGTATGTGGGATCCGAACCCTCGGCGGGAGCGCCGCCGCGCTTCCCAAGCGGCGCACTGTAGCAGTGCGCCACCGGGCCGGCCGAATTTTATTTTCAATTACAATCATAATCCTGGGACCTAAAGCATACTACTTTTTAAAATCTACTTTTATTCAGGTTGCCATTCTAATTGCTACTTAAAATTATTTATCTTAGGCAAAATATAAATCAGAAAAAAATACAAGACTTATCAATAAAAAATTCTAACACTAATACGTATGGATTGTTTT